TTTTTGTAATCCATGATTGAATTTTTTGTAATCCATGATCAAATTGTTTTTTTCTTTTTTTATAATCCACGATTGAATTTTTTGTTTTTTTTTGTTTGTTTTTTTTGTAATCCATGATCGAATTTTATGTAATCCATGATCGAATTTTATGTAATCCATGATCGAATTTTTTGTAATCCATGATTGAATTTTTTTGAAAATTTGTGATTTTTTTTTTTTAATCCATGATCGAATTTTTTTTGTTATCCATGATAGAATTTTTTGAAAATTTGTGATTTTTTTTTTTAATCCATGATCGAATTGTTTGAAAATTTGTTTTTTTTTTTTTAATTCCATATTATTCAAAGAGAAAATGAGAGAGATGATGATTCTGATGCCACCCTATCCCAGCCATATTATTCACATATCGAGTCCCAACAGCAACAATGTAGGGATGAGCACGACAGTGCAGGTGAGCATGAAGAATGGACAATCTTCGGGGATTTTAGATTGGGAACACAACAAAACACTAACACTCAAGGATTTGGGAATAGTCAGACACCTGCTAATATCGATGATTCGTTTTTAGATCGAATCAATGAATTGTTAAACGAATTCAATCAATGGCACCAGCATGACCAAGAAGAACAATAACGTCGTCTATCATTTTATTTTTAGATCATATGTTACTAATTTCATGCTTTATTGTAGTCCATGTATGTTGATATACTTATTCCATGATAATTATATGTTTATCTTTTTGGGAGCCCGATCCGGGTCACCGATCCGTTTTTTAAACCATTGTCCTAAACTGATTTGGTCATGACTGATTTTCATCCAGATTAATTCCCATCTGGACCGCTGATCTGAATAAAAATCACTTAATTTAAACACTACTAGCAATCACATGAGATGTTAAATAGTGTATCTCTCGTAGGTAGTTTAGTAAATTTATTTTTTCTTAATGAAGGGCCTCGGCATTTCAATATGACCATTATAACCTTGTACATTACCGAAAAAATATGATATCTTAATGAAGGGTGCGTTATTTGATTGAAAATATTGGAAAGGAGAAGTTTTTTTAATTGGAGTTAATCTTAATCTTAAGACCGCTGAATTTATCTTCAGGAAGTTTATGAATGTGATTTGTTTAGTATTACTTTACCTATTTATTTTCATTTAGTTTCAAAAAGACCGCACATAGTCATGACTTAGAATCATTAGGATGAGTAAGTAATTAAATAGTTGATAAGCTAAGTTTTGATAAAAGAGAAAAATCATATATGGTGCCAACCAAGGCAATTATTTTTTTGGCAGAATTTGAACCGGAGGTGTAGCATTGCTTGATGTCAACGGCTCACTACTCAAGTCCATAGCCATCTCATTATATAAAATATCAACCTTAAATTGTAGACGTAATAATTTCCTAAAAAATATATTAAAAACCATCTCAATCTCGAGATGTATAAAAATAAAAAACATAAATAAAAAAATTACATATCTTCTTATAGCATGTATTTGGATCATCTATTTTAATATTTTTAAGTGTTTATAAATATGCTCGATCTGCATTATTTTTGCTATTTTAAATTTCATAATTGAAGGTAAAAAAAAGATTTTCTATTATCACAAGGCTTTTCAATTTGCAAAACAACTTGAGGTAGTTTGCTAAAAAATATCAATTTGAGGTTTCTATAAGCCCTAGGCTTTATGAAAACAAAATAAATGCTCACCCCAAAACCTCGTCCAAAAAGTACTTTTGGTAATGAAAATCTTAATGGTGACTCTAAAATCGATTTTTAATACCAACAACAAAATATGAAACTCAAAAAATGGTAAATATCTTGCATATATATGAACACTTATTTTTAGGGCTAAATGGTTGGTCTAGATAATTTGTGACAATATACATTATTTTTAGAGGTTGAAATCCTAAATTGTTTCCACAACCATAATATTCAAGCCAAGATAATCGATGTAAAGGTTTTCCTATGCTTGATTGCAAATCTCAATGAATTTTGAGGTGATGGTTTACTTATTAATAGAGCAACGGCCCTATCAATCATTTTCCTTTAAAAAAGATATGAATTTTTTAATTCTGCTAAAAAATTAGTGTAAACAAATGTACACGTATAAATGAAATAAAACAAAGTTACAATTTGAAGAGGGTGCATACAATGATTTTATCACTAGGATACATGAGGCATGTTTGGGTATGCTCATTATCATTTGTAATTCCTTGTTTCAATAAAGTTAATATTGATAGCAAACTATCTATCCTTTGATAGTGTCCATTATAATGTTATTTGTAATGAACTTATTTGTAGTTTTACATAGAATGTTATGCTTTTTGAAAATATATTTTTACTTTATTCAGTAATTTAATGAAAATTACTTTTGTTTTTGTCCAAAAGAGCAAAAAATAGCTTAAACTTGAAATATTTAAATAATATTGCATATAGTACAAGATATGCACCAAACAACTAGCGAATATCAATATCCAGGGTATAAACAAACAATATAATGCAATATAGATAAAATTAATTGCCATCCAAGCATGCCCTAAAGTCACCTAACAATAACTTTACGACATGAATGGGTAGCATTAGGGTCCAACTTAAATTTCTTTCTGTCCAACTTAAATTTCTTTCTTTCTTTTTTTGTTTAAACATAATAGCAGGTATGCTTCCGATGTCGCCATTATGCAAACTACCCAATGATTTATTAAAAGCGTAAAATGAAACAATACTAAACACAACAATTACATCAACAAATAACAAGACCAACAACATGAGGTACAAGAGTGCCGTAGCAAAGTAAGAAAAGGAATTGGGTCTTTTTATAGAATTGTAGTTGATCAAAACCCCAAAAATCAAAATCTACATAACAACGGTCCATCCAAATCGGTGTGTTGTGTACACTAATGAAATAATCGAAACCCCAGAACGGTAAAATTTAATCAAACATATATATAGAGGTCTTCCTTGTAGCTGCCAATCTATCCAAGCTAACCCAACCATTCGAATATTATTCCCAAGCACTTAAAATATTAAAGTGTGATTGAGTGACTCTCCTCTCCTATCTACAATGATACTCTTGATTTAAACCATGATTGTTGATTTAATCCCACTAAAGGTCGTCTCAAAACCAAAATTCGAAGATTTTAAAGTTCAATTTTTTAAATTTAAATTTTAAAGGGCATGGCAATAGGGAAGAAATTTGTTTCCTAATAACATATTTGAAAAATTATGAAACAGACGTTTGCAAAAAAAGAAAAAGAAAAAACCAATTTCTTGAAGCTCAATTGAAATGCTGAAAGTTATTGATACATTGCAAAATATTGGATAATCTTTTAAAATTGTGTTTTAATCAAGAACTTGCTATGCATTACTATGCCCACATAAGAATCAATATAACGCACCGCTAATCTGATAAAGAATACCTTAGATATCTTAGGCCTCACCAAATGACTAGCCCCAATTTCTCATGCGAATCCAGTAGGTTGAGCATTAAATGGGGTATGCAATTATTAGGTTATTTGGAAAATGAAAATATAGGCCATCCAGTAGAGATTGCAATAAAACATCATACCATAGATAACTTAGATTATATCTAGTTGGACTAGACAGTTACGGTTGGGTTGCTTATTAATATATGTTTTTGATCTTTTTAGCGTTGATAATCCTAATATTGGGACATATATTCCTGACCTAAGTACTCAAAAAATTCAAAACAATATATACAAAAAAATTTGCCAAAATGCAATATCTACAAATTGCCAAATGCGCCAGCCATATATGATCAACGCTAACCATCCAAATCGTGAATTTTGTTTCAATCTGAGTTATCCAACCTATATTGCTCTGTGTGCGTAGTGGCTCACAAGATTTTTATCCATTTAGAAATTTGTGTTGTTGGCGAATGCAATGGGCACCAAACTTGAGGGTGTTTAAATCCTTAAATGCAAAAAATTATTGTTTTTTAATTTAGAAAAGAAAAATATTCCTTTTTTTTTTCTTCTTAATGTTCACAAATCCTTGTTTTCTTAGTAAGAACAAATACCGACACACCATTATTCATATTAGAATAATGTTTCCCATTAACTTAATTGCTTTTAGTTCTTCTTCCTATTTTTTCTTTCTTTGGTTTAAGATACTTGTGCCCCAAGTATACCGATCCCCTGCCTATAGCGAGAACAGAATTCAAAACGTCGCATTCTACCACCCTGACCAACTATCCATATGCAGTTATTTGCCATTTTATGCTATGCTATCTTTCAGTTCAGCAATTCCGGCAGAAGCTGCATTTGATGCGGTCCCCAGACACAAGGGAGCTCCAATAAATCTAGATCACGCTCCACCAAATATCTTCAATCTACAGTCTATTTAATTAAAGAAAAATTCATCAAAGGCTCTAAAAGGACGAGCCATTCAACATTTTACATATTATTTATTTGATTCCCGATTTAACTTTAAATAGTAAAATGTTAAATGGTTATTGAGTTAGGTTTGTTTGACCCAGGGATCAACAATGTTCGAACATTTTTGGAGCTTCAAATCAGAACTTCCTTGAGAAGATTGTTCTCTGGTGCTCTTCTAGGAGCTCTCTAGGGACGTCACGTCACAAAGTTTTCCAGAAGGCGTGTGTGCATTCCACACACATGCAAAGAGAGAGAGTTTGGATTTCAGAGAGACAGAGAGAGAGAGAGGGAGGGGGGACTAAAGAGAGGGATCGGGGCAGTGCGACTAAGAAAGGGGAAGTGGAGTTCGTAAATAGCACTTCACTGAGGAGTCACTCCAGTCGCCACGACCTTGGCAATCCGGAGGAAGAAGCCCAAAAATCGTGGTCTCTCCAAAAAACAAGGTTCGTTTTGTTATTTTCCCAGAAATTTGGGCAAGTCAAAGCTGACCATGCTCAGGACCTTGGCTAGTGTGAGCCTGAGTTTGTGTTTTAAAACTCTTGTAAGAGTAAACACAAAACATCTTTAGAACTTTGGAAAGACCAGACTCAGGTTGTCCATGAAGAAAAACGCAAAAAGAACAGAAAGAAAAAAAAAAAACATTTTTCGGAATAATGGTACAAGGAACTGAGAAGCTGAGAGAAGCTTTCATAAGATTCAATGGGAGACCTTGAGAAAATCCATATTTCACGCAAGAAGAGAATAAGCCCAACCAAAATAAAACACAAATAAGATGAGATAGAATTAAGATTTCTAAACTTGAAGGAACAATAAGAGTCGAGCTTCAATGGCCGCCAAACAGTAACAAACCATGGAAATTTCAATCAATGAAAGGAAAAACCAGTACCCAAATGTCAAAAGAAAAAAATATTAGTTGAACTGCCAACAGAAATAACCAGCAGTGGACTTCAACTGCTTAACACATCAGGGTACACCACTAAAAATTTTCAGAATTTTTTCCGACCATCCTTACCATAACAATGCTGTGTGTCAGGTATAAGAATTTCCCCCTAGAGAAGATGCCTAAGTTTATCCTTGCGCTTTGGCATATCAATTTACAATCCAAAATCCTCTGCACATTCTACAGAGAAAAGCCCTTAAATTAAATCAGAGAGAATTTAAGAGAGAAGAAAATACGATAGATAAGCTGGAACATAGCTCAGAAAGGGAGTTTAATGCTCTTCAAGACAGAGGAGAGAGAAGGCAGCTTAGCTGGAGCCTTCTGCTTGTATTCTTTTAGTAAGGCTGTTGCAGCAAGAGATTGTAGGTCTGTGCTCTCTCTCTCTTCCCTGTTCCTGCCTTTGGTTAACTGACTTATGGCAGTGCTACACTGTAGAAAAATAATTCTCAATCAGTTAGAAATAGAACAGAGGCCAGCGTCTCTCCCCCCCCTCCCCTTTTCTTATTTTTCCTTTTATGGAGAATCTAGCGTAGCTAGAAGCTATTCGTTATTCTTGTCTCGCATTTAACAACTTAAATTGATTGAAAATAAACAAAAAACCATTTAGATGCAGTAGCACCCTGGCACATAAGAGAAAAGAAGCCACCCAAAACTCAAGTTACAACAACCACAATTTCAAAAATAATATCTCACCAAACATATCCCGAAAAGAGCTCTGGTGTTTTTCCCTCCACTGAGTTCTATGGTCGATGCATAGTACTTCTTAGCTGTGTTGAGATTTTCCAAACCACCAAGAGTGTATAGAACCTGACCATATTCAAGAGAGCATGCTGAGCAAAATACGAATTGCGTTTCATAGTTCAACATCAACAGCAAATATATAAGCTCCTTCCAATGTCTAAAGAAAAGAGATCACTGGTTTTGAATTTTGTCGAAAGTTTTGGTTCAGTTTTGCCACAATGGTATTGTTGACACTATTTCATCTATGATAATATAACAGGAGGCCTGAAAGGCAGAAGAAACAATTGTAGCCTTCAACCAATTTTTGTCTGGAAGAGATAATGGAGTTTGCACTTCCATGAAATCTTGAATGAAACTACTTCAAATCCAAAGGGGATTTAGAGCAGAAAATTACAAACTTAACCACCCCGCACCCACCCCCCCCCCCAAACACCCAGAAAAGCAACTATATAATGTCCAGTAGTGCACAAATACGCATGTACACGTGCATGTATTGCACAGCTCTTAACTGAAACTGACTAAGAGCCATATTTGCAATATTGAAATTAGACATACATGTAGCATGTCATTAAACTACATATACACTTTTTTTGTGTGTTAAATTATACATAATTACCAAAACAGGGTACAACCCCAACTTAAATGGCATAAAAACCGAGGTCCATTTCCTAGTGCTATGGAGCCGAGAGGTCCCCAACCCAACCACTATATCAGGGTAAAGCCTATCTTACAATACAACTAGAAAATTAAGGTTACGATCAAGACAAATGCTGCAACTAATAACCAGCAGTATCACTTGCCTCGGCATATGCTATATGATACAGGGGAACTGATGGTTGACCTAAAATTAGCTCCTCATAACAGAACGCCGATTGCTTGTACCTGCAGAAGGAAGAAAGAAAAAAAACAACGTTAAAATCCCATGAGGAGTTCCTGTTAAGAACTTCAAGAAATAAGAAAAGCTATCAAATTAGAGGCATAACGAAAAAAGGAAGTAACCATAACTAACTCACATTTGCAAGGATACATATATCTCAGCAAGCTCTCTCCAAGCATCATGATCAGCCATAAATCTAAAAAATTTCCACCATATGAGAAAAGTTTCTGTAGAAACAATAACAAAACTAAAAACCATCTGATTTAACTTTTCTCTTAAAGTGTAATCCATCTAGCTTACTTACACTTCAAGATACTTGTTAAGCAATTCAATGGCACCTGATACATTGCCCTGTGCCTTAGCAACAGCAACTCTTCTTTTGTGAATTATCTGGAAGACATGGCACTGGATTACGACTCAAAAAAATTTGTCCTTGAACAGAAGAACATGACTAAAATTGAAATTCAGAGACAAAATAAAATTTATTTCATAGCAAAATCCTAAATGTTACATTTATATAACATAGCTTCCCATTCAAGAGGACAGGCCTGCTTACTGGATCTAAGGGATTATCCTCAAGAAGGCGAGAATAAGCTTTTTCTGCCTCTGCCCACGACCCCTTGGCTTCAAGCCACATCCCCTCTAATTTTCCTATTGTATAATGCACAAAATAGAAATCAATGAACTGCGAAATACTGCATACCCTGCAACTCCAATAGAAAGGCTACCCATCTATGATGTAGGCATGCAGGTATAGAGGTTAGTACCCATACAGTGCATGCAAGCCAATACGAGCATGCATTCATGCATGCATACATCATTTCAAGACATTCACCTCTTTCTTTCTAGAAGTACAAATACAAATGGGAAACCCGCTTGTCAATAAACCTACCGATCCTCGTACTGCCTGGGAATCTCTTTGAAAGCGTCTGAACACAGTCCTGGAGAAAAAAGCACCTCCTTAGTAAATTTTACCACCTTCAATTTGTTCTTTGGATAAGTATAGCACCTTCAATCTAGAAAAGATGAAAAAAAAAAGAAAAAAAAAGAGTGTTACAGAATACAACCCCATTGCAACCATCTATATTCCCCAATAAATTGTTTATATGGCATGGCCAGTAAACAACATATATAAAATTTGCTTTATAACTTATCTGAAGTTATTGAATGCAGTTTGTCTGATGCATTCCATGTTATTCAATTTCTGATTGACAAAGTTTAAGTCCAAATATCCTGATTCGACTTTATAAATGTCACTCCATACTATATGATAAGGAGCAACCACTGACGAAGTGAAGCATTTTGGCCAATATGTCATTTACAAATGATGAGGATAAATTTCAAGTACTTCACTAAAAAGCAAAAGAAATGGCCGTTTTCTTCTTTTGTTTTTCCTCTTACTTGAAATGGATTTTGGGGAATTCATCTTTTTTGTTCGACCGGAAACCAAATAGCCAGAAAATGCAAAATGGAATAGAATCTTCACATAAAGAGCAATGGAATTATCTTTCAATAAACATATTCAAAAGAGAAAAAAAGAATTTTTCTTTCAATAAAGGCACACACTATAGTTCAAATGAGAAGTCATAGAAGAAAAGCATATAACTATTGCTTCAGGAGAAAACAGAGAACAGGAACGCACCTTTGCAATGTCAAGCTTATGGCAATCCATGGCTGCAATAGCCACCTGCTCGTAAAGTGTCCATTCTACAAACAAAGGACATCTAAAAATAAGACTTGTGTGACCACCAACATCAATTCGAATTTGAACTATCATAAAGGTAGAAGAAGATAATTTCCTGTTTATTCCGTGGAAAAAAAAAATCTCAAACTCTCTTGCATATAATATTTAGCATCAGTGACCATTTGAATACAGAAATCTGCAAAAAGTGCTTATAGTTTTGACAAACAATTTATACAATCCTTATGCCAATGAAAATCCTTCTGATAGTCAATAAACAACATATCTACATGCATGCAACTATGGTTTGTGTTTTGGCCAGTTCTTGACAAAGAGAATGGCAAAGTGTGATTCCAAATTTCCTAAATCAATATAAAGAATTTGGCAGCAACCAATGAAGTGCATTTACTTTCAGTTATTTTCTTCAAAACCAATCTGTCATTACAGATTGGAGAACCTTTCATTACAGATCAGAGATATTAAAAGAGTAGAGAAGAAATATACAGTCAGTGGTTATATCTATTCCCAATGCATCTATAGCACATCAGCTGCAAACTTGTTCCCTAAAGCCTTGACTACAGAATGAAATTAGGTTTCATGAACAAAATTGCAATACCAGGTTCCATGAGTAAAAAGAGCCCATTTGATCCTTACCTGTTGCATTGAATGAGGCAAGACTAGCCCGTGTATAGGTTCTATTTTCTACATGGTTTATCACTAAGGTGTCTTAGTTTATTTCTAATTCCCTAATTGACGTACCCACAGGGCAATAGTAATTTCTGTCTCATATTACTCTCAATGCAATCTAATTCTCAAAGAGAAGTATGTAATCTGAGATTAAGTATTTATGTTGGAGTTTTAGGGTTTAAGAGTTCAATAATTTACATAGCGAGGCTGGTGCCATTGGCAGTAGTCCAGCTAAGTTTACTCTTTCAAATTTGCGAGAAAAGGATGAATTAAGCAGGTGACAAGTTCTGACAAGCCCCCCAGTTTTCTTTCTTTCATTGATCATAATTGACAGGCCCCCCGGTATTGCATTTTAATGATATAAGAATGCCTTTAATGCAAAAATAATTACAAAAATTGGAATACTATGGGGTTAAATTTCCATTTCTATTCCCTAGATTAATTAGGAAAATAAGTAACTTCTGCGTAGCATAATTAAAGAAGTAAACTAGAACTGGACAATTAACACTATATTACTGCAAAATTAAATAAATCAAAACACGGCACTCTCAAATCAAGTAATCGGCTGACTGATTACAATCCCCTGCCAGGAAAACGGAAGAAATTCAACCGCCCAATACATTAATTACCATCTAACTACTGAGAAAATATAAAAATTTTTAAAGCCATAAAGTTTTAGCGCTGGTCAATTGAAGGAACAAATAAATAAATTTTTTTTAAAAAACTCAATTCTCCAATCAAAGACATATGAAATTCATCTGCACACCACATCGATTAACATCCAAAACACAAACCAAATCCCTTAAATTTACGCCTTGAGTTTGTGAACAGATCCATAAATACGTATTACGAAGACATAACGTTTTAATTTTAGAAAGAGAAAGGAACACAATAATAAAGAGCGTGAGAATACTGACCATCTGGGCCAAGTTTCGATCTACTCTTAGGATCATTCAGAATTGAGAGCCCATGCTTCAATACCTTCTCTGAGCGCCTAACTTTAAGCTTCCTGACCAGTGAGAGGTACTCCCATGCTCCTCCTCCTCCATTATCCACCTGAGATTCAAGACGATTAAGCTCCCCTTCCTCAGCAAACCCTACCATTGTAGGAGGAGTTCTGGAGAGAGAAAAGGCTGAGATTTTCCAGAGAATTCTCAGAAATCGATGGAGGAGTTCTGGAGAGAGAAAAGGCTGAGATTTTCCAGAGAATTCTCAGAAATCAGTGAAGAGAAACATGGACAAGGAATTAGGGTTTCGAAGAAAAGTAAGAGGTAGTAGCATTAGAGAGAGAGATGAATTAGGGTTCAAACTAGGCAGCAGCGGCACGTGAGAGAGAGAGAGCGAGAGAGAGATCCCGTTTCTCTGACTCGACGACTATGGTCTGCGTAAGAGAAAAAAGTCGTTTCTATTCTCCCATGTGCCACAAGAACGGAGGTACTCCACGAGCCAAATTATATCAATGAATAAAGGATGGAAACTTAATAATTTATCATGGAAAAAGTTTATTTAAAGTACACATTAAAATAAGGTGTACCTCTAAAATCTTTTGAAAAATATTATTTTGATGTTGAGAAAATATTTAATTTATCATCTCGACATTGAGATATATACATATGGAGAAAAAAAAGAAATTTCAAGTCCCAAAAATAATACATCTTGCTACGTATTATCTCGACCGTCTGTTTTCAAGAGCTTCATGCGCTTATAAATCCACTTGATCTAAATCATTTTTAGAGTTTAAAATTTTCTAAGTTGAGATAAAAAATAGATTTTCATATTTTGAAGAATTTTTTACACCAAAACTGTATCGCATGACAAAATTTGAACTTTCATCTGAATTTGATCGCTTAGGGTTGGTATTAGCCTTCAACCATGTTTACAGGAAGGCAAATGATAGGGCTGATTCGTTAGCAAAAGCAATTCAGGCTATTTGTTATGTTATTTCTCCTTCATCTCTGTAACTCTACTTTTGTTTGATTAATAAAGTTATGTGCTCTTGTTAAAAAAAAAGAGTTGCAACCTTACCCATTTATCAAACCATATGTTAGCAAGATGGAGTTGCAACCTTACCCACTTATCAAACCATATGTTAGCAAGAAGACCAAGACGGTGCGAAGAAAACATATAAAACCAAGGTTTAAAAAAACAAATCGGTGAACCAGATCGGCCACCCAAGAAGGCAAGAACCGAGTCGGATCGGTCACCCTAAAAACACTTCCACATTTCTTATCACTTCTACTCAACCGGTGCAATTGTTTCCATTTTGAATAAAAAAAAAAAAACTAAATATAACATAGGAAAATTCAAAATAAGGTCATTTACTTTCGGCACCAGTGGTTTACAAATTTACAATCATCTTTGATTGTTAGATGTAAAATCTAACGGTTAAAGATACTCCAATGATTATGCTCAATTACAAAAAAAACAAAATTCAAACTTTGTGACAGTCAAATTTAACGGGGTGAAATTTATTTTGACTTTTCTTGTACCCAATATAAACAATTTTATAGTAAACAATGTCCAGAACCTATGACACTGCAGTATACTGTAACGTACGGGTGGCCATGAGCTTCCCATTCATGAAGGACATTGTGATTCTCATGGATACCAAGTCTGGAGATGGCATGGAGGCCAAATTCTATTGAGATAGACCGTGAATGTCTCTTGGGAGTACCAAAATACGTTCTATGTGGTTTTCATATGGCAATAAATTTTCATAAAATTTTGGAGTTTCTTGTTAAATTAAATCAAACTTATATCCTCATACCACACTTATAACGAAAATTGTTCTATGAGCCAGGGGACATATTCTTCTATCTGTGTCCCACGTTAAACAACCATCTCAAAAATGAAAACAAACGGTGGTCTCCAAAAAAAAATATCAAATTTTATTTTTTTACATATTAATAATATCCATAGTAGAGATTATATATTCCTTAAAAATTAAGGCGAAAATCCATGTAAAAAATGGAGTTCAAGAAGGGGCATATTCCGTTCGGGACTCGAGAAACCTTGTCCTACTACTTCTAAATCGTTTTCTTGGACCTTTTTATCCCCCATTTGGATTGTTGAAGACGGAGATACTTATGGTGTTGGAAATTGACGATATTACCCCAGTAGCAAAGGGGCAGTGTCTTAAACTGGAAAGTCTTGTTCAGTTCCTCGCAGAGAGGCATGATACCTCACTCTAAAATGAAAGATATTCTAGCCATTTTTTAGCATTCAACCAACAAAATCATTGTGAACCTATAATCACCTCATGTCCATGAATTTGGAGATCCAAAGCTACCTATAGTGGCCTCAGGTCCATGACCTAGGAGCTCCATAGACCATAGCTAATGCAGATCATATGATTGAAATGAGCGGCCCAGAAAGTCTGAAATAATGGACCATTTTTAAGGTTCAAAATTGTTTTTTTAGCCCTCAGTTTCATGATGAAGGTCATTTGAAATTTCATGCAAAATTTCAGATCCCAAATCCTTCTCCTAGTTGGATCTCGGTGGACACACCACAGCTGGTGTGGTCCTAGACATGCCTAAAACCAAGGAAATTTACACAATAATACCACTTTTACATTTGATACAATGATGTCACAATCACTTCTAACCATTATAAAATGCCAAATCAAGAGGATGAGCCATGCTATTAATCCAGGTTCAAAACACACGAGATAATATTTTGAACTTTAGCAACTACAAACCCACTAAATACAGTGTGTCATAGCAGTCTAGATCGGTTGCAAGAGGCCTTTTAGTAGCTAATATTAGAGACCATTAAATGTTACAGTATGTTACGTAAAATGGTCAACAGAGATCATCGGCAGCCCGATGAGGCCACATGCACATTCATCCCCACACTATGCTTCAACAAAATGCACTTTGATAAGATAATCAGCAAAATGCACTATGTTAGGACAGTAATTAGAATAAGTTAAAACAGTTAAGCTGTAAAAATAGAAAGCCTATTCTATAAAGAAGATACAAATTCAGTATTATCCCTGGAAAATCCATCTGCCTTCGATTCCATTTCTCAGATTTTTCACATCTTGTCAAGATTCCAGCATGTTGCTCAGCAAAGGCAACCTACAAATCGATAACCAAAGATATGGATTAACACAAAAGTTTAAGCAATGCATTTTCCTTAAATTAATTTAGAAGCCACTCTTCGAGCATTCCCCACGAAACCAGATTTCAAATTCCACTAGAAGTCACCGAAGGCCTAGCCTCCCTAACCCATGTTCTGCTGTTTCATGTCACCCCCAAAGTTTGTAATTCCTCAAAATTTCAAGAAGCAGCAGCTTTATTCCGATTACGAGGTCAAGATGTCAGATCTCTCTCT